CACAGGACTCTGTGAAGTCAGTTGCCATCCCTCAGAGTGGGAGGGAGAGACATGTGACACCATACCCAGTAGGAGCCTTCACACTGGGGTCACTGTGGCCAGGGAGAGCTGAGTGTCCCTGGGACTTGTCCTGGGGCCTTTCCTAGGTCCTGTGTTGAATGGTGACACAGAAGGCACCTTCATCGCTGCTGTGGCATCAGACTGAAAGGAAGCAGGGAAGGCCAAATCAGGATGCAAGTGGCATCAGAAGGGAGGATGGTGACTCCAGCCACGGAATGAAATGTCACAGAGATAAATGATCAGAGCTCGTCAGTATTGAGTAGTGAAGTATTGAGCAATGAGAAGAAGATGGCTTCAGTGTTAAGTGGAGGGAGTCCTCACTTAAGCAGAGTTTCAGGGAAGAGGCAGGCTACAGGCCTTTTCATTCAAGGGGATTTTAGAGAGTGCAATACCCTTATTCTACAAATTATAGTTCATGCAACTGTTGGCTCATTACAAACTATCCATGTGAGTGGAAGTTTTGTGACAACATCTGCCCTTGGGCTAAAGTTTTGTAGGGAAATAACTCTACAAGCTCACCCATTTCAAGAGGTAACCCTTGCTGTTGAGCTAGTCCTGGACTCTAAATCTCTTTTGTGACTCATACTCCGAAGCCCCATGGCTTCAAGGGATTAAAATAAACAAAGATGAGGTAGCTGTGTGGCACAGCAGTCCTCTTGGGATTCACTGGCCTAGCAGCCCATTTCTGAGGGATTACCAGACACCCTTGGAGTATTAACTCCAAGAACTTAAGGCACTGATCACCCTAACAGTCTCTCTTTGCCCCAGGAGAGCTGGCAAGGTCTCTTACCCCCCGTACTGCATTCTGGGAGAACACCTAAAAAGGAAAGTGACATGTTCTTCTCTTCAACACTTGCCACTGGATTCTCCTTGTGAACTCAACGACTGAGTACTTATGGACCCCGATTACTTCCTGTGGCTGAGGGGAAGGTTTCTAGAAAGAATGGGAGCTGCATGCAAGGAGAGCTCCCTGGAGCCTGAAGCCCTACTGTTGCCTGCTAGGAGAAGGAAACCCCAGGAAAGATTGACTGGGGCACTTCCATTCTCACCATTGGCAGGCAGAGGAGGGTGCTATTAGGTTCCAGGCTGCAATGCTGGTGTGCTGTGCAAGTGAACTGGGCTTATATACTCACTAACGTGCTTGAATCCTGACTGGGTGGAGGGATAGTTCCCAGGCCAACACGTGTGCTGGAGGATGGGCTCGGGGATCCCACATGGGCAGGCAGGGCTCCAGGCCACCATGCCGCCCCTCCAGAAGACCTGGCTGGGGAACCCATGCACTCTTACGTGCAGGGGCTGTGGATTGATCAGGGAAGGGGCTATTGGATGTGTGGAAGAGTGATCACTGAGGGAGTACCTTGCAGGTGAATAACATTAGGGACTTCTGCCAACAAGTCCATTGTACTTACAGATGCATGAGGGGGCTGAGGCCAAGCGGTTTGTAGGAGGGATGCTGGTAAACCTTCTTGATCAGTCTGAAGTACCCACACATGTGGGAGACCTGAACTGGGCTAGTTAGCATCAACCACCACTGACCACCACCCTCGGATGCACACTAAATCCAGGACTGGGAGCCTTCCTATTAGGGTTAGATCACAGTACCAACCAATGAGTGCCAGAAGATGGGATGGGGTCACGTTAGGCTGGGGCATGGCACTAAACATCACAGGAGAGACCTGAGTCTGGGGGGAAGATTCTATGATGGATATGTGGACTCACCCCTCTGGAACTCAATATCCTCTGATTTTCTCAAAGACCTGATTGGGATGACGGGCTGAGCTAGGCATGACCATGGAACTCCCCAACATTCATGGCTTCAGGGTTTGGGAACAGGTTGGGTTTTTCCAGGCTGTAGTGCCCGTAAGCCTACCCAGGAATAGGATGTGGGGAAGGTCAGCTGCAATCTGCACTAGCACACACAGAGCACACAGAGGCTGGGATAGAGAGAGGAGAATATGTCAGGTAACAGCCTGAATCCTGCTGGCACATGTGAGATTTAGGTCTGGGAGTAGGCCTGGTGGAGGAACTGGGGAACTCCTCTGGTGGGCTGAATGTAGATCCTGTTGGAGAGCACATGAGTCAGTGCTAGATGTTGGTTAAGGTGGGCAAAGTGCTCCACTTGTCAGCAAGTGTGTGGATTGGCTCTGGATGGAGCAGACCAGGTAGTGTTGTTCAACCTGTAGCACTCTGGCATTTGCAGGAGCCAGGATGGAGTAGGCTGTCACTCCTACTGGTGTAATAAAAGCCAGGGATGGGTAGAGCTGGGTTAAAGACCCACCAGCAGTAGTTGGAACTGGTTGTGAGCTGGGTTAGGCCAGGCTGCAGCATCTGATGGCAAAAGCTAAGATTGGAGGGCTAAGATTGACAGGCTAAGTCAGAGCAACCACTGGCTTACACAAAGTCTGTGGCTTGGAGCAGATCTGGTTGGGGAGCTAAAGGGACACCCCAGCTGCATTGTGGTTCCTTCTGTTGACTGTGACAGCCAGAATGGGGACAGCAACTGGGCTGAATATGGCTGCAGTATAAATTGGCATGGACAGGATGTGGGCCAAACCAGTCTGGGCCAAGCACCCACTGGTGTGTTTGAGATCTTACACTGTGTAGAGACCTGACAGAGGAGCTTGGGGAACTCCTCTGTCAGGAAACAGTCCCTGCAGGTGAGCACAAAAGTCAAGACTGGGAGCAGCTGAGACCAGGTCAGGTTACTGCCAGCATAGATGCGTGTCAACTTTTGGGAGCAGGCCAGGCTAGGCCAGTACATAGCTCCCACTGGCATATGTGAGAATGAGTGCAGGACAGGCCAGACTGGACCATAACACCATTCAGTTCATATTAGGGCTGGAGCTGGAGGATGACTGAGTTGATCAGGCTGTATCACCCACCAGCATGCTGTGGAACTGGGGGAAGCGTGCTCCAGGCCAGGATAGTCCTGCTGACAAATGTTGATATGAGGCAGCTCATTCCAGACTGACTGCAGCATCCACCAGTAAACATAAGACCCAGGTAGGAGGAGAGTCAAGTAAAGAGGCAGTAAGGATACCCCTGTTGGTGAGCATGAGAATTGGGACTGGAGGACAGATTAGGACAGGCAGGGCTTCAATACCAATTGGTCTGCATGTGAGCTAGGTTAGGGGAGAGCAAGTTTGGGAAAACCGACTGTATCCACTGGTGTATGCATGAGCCAGAATAAGTACAGGCTGGTTGGGCTGGCATGAGCAAGGAATGTGGGCAAGTCCTGTCAATCTAGACTGCAGAATCACTTGAAAAATGCAAGATTCAGGGCTGGGACTGAGTCTAGAAGGGAAACTGTGGGCACCTCTCTGACGGGCTGTAGCTCTCACTGGTGCATATGAGAGTCAGGGCTAGAGGTTGACCTGGATGGACGGACAGCCCTGCCAAGCTCCTGGAGGAAAATGGGGTAGCAAGGGAGTTCTGGCCAAGCCAAGAATACAGCTCATGGACTCCTCCATATACAGGGGCTGTGCCAAGTAGAGGTCCTTCCACCATGCTTCCCAGGCCAGATCCCCAGCTCTGCCAAAGCTGGTCAGAGCTCTTCTTGTTACAGTCACCAGAATCAGCCACTAACTTGAGGGACCATGAGTCAAGTCAATACCTTCTCACCATAGGAAGAGCTCACAGGTGGCAAGATCAAGTTCCTGGATATGCCCAGCAGGCCTTTCGTCCCCCCAAAGCCCACAACAGCAAGGACTGGGGCAGGCTGAAGCCAGGAGCTTCTTCTAGGTTTCCCACATGGATATAGGATCCCAAGCACTTGGGTCATCTTCTGCTGCTTTCACTGGCCAAAAGTAGAGCAGCTGGAACATGAACTGTAACTTGTCTTTTTCCTTCCTAGCTGCAGGAGGCTGTTCAAGAGGCAGGGAGAGCAGGTATCACCTGAAAGGGAGTGGGCTTTTTCTGCCTCCTTATGGGGTCGGTTCTGGGTGTGATCCCCAGATGTGAGTCCTGGAGGAGTCCCACTGTGAGGAAACCAAAATTTCTGGAAACTGTGTGACACTGCTGGGCACCTGCTTCTTGCCCCAATCCCACAGACCTTTGTCCAGGTGTTGCTAGAAGTGTGGCAAGATGGGATGAAGGGGGCCCGGCGCGGTGGCGCAAGTGGTTAAGTCCTCGCCTTGCAACCCCGGGATCCCATATGGGCGCCGGTTCTAATCCCGGCAGCCCCGCTTCCCTTCCAGCTCCCTGCTTGTGGCCTGGGAAAGCAGTGGAGGACGGCCCAAAGCTTTGGGAACCTGCACCCGTGCGGGAGACCCGGAAGAGGCTCCTGGCTTCGGATCGGCATAGTATCGGCCCGTTGCGCTCACTTGGGGAGTGAATCATCGGACGGAAGATCTTCCTCTCTCTCTCTCCTCTCTCTGTATATCCGCCTTTCCAACGAAAAAATAATAAAAATAAATCTTTAAAAAAAAAAAAAAGATGGGATGAAGGAAGGGGCTGAGCCACAGGCATGATCAGAGAGTGGAGGGGTAAGGGACAGGTTGTGCGTTGGGGGAGGGAGGGTAGAGATAAGGGGTGCTGATCCAAGAGTATGGGTCCATATGCCTCCTCCCAAGACCAGTTAATCTCCAGGAAGGACCTCGGGGTGGGCATCTGTGCGTGGCGTCCTCACTTGTTAATTCTGAAAGTCCCTAACTGGTGGAGCAGCGCAACATGAGTGCCACTGGACAAGGCAGAAAATCAAGATCTCTTTCTGGAAACCCACATCTGCCTGAAACCCCAGAGATCAACAACAAAGTCATATGCATGCATGTGCACACAGGCACACCCAACGCCCCCCCCCCCCGCAAAACACACACCCTTGTGGGTAGGGTTGGTTAGGAGAGGAGGAACCTGGGGCTCAGAGCTTTCACAGCAAGTCTGGGTGGTGTCTAAGATCTCCAGTTCCTGTGCCCTGGGCTCTGGCCCCAGTGTCCCTCCTGTCCCTGTGGCCAGCGCTCATTGATACCTCTGCTTCACTAAGCCCATCTATCCAAGACACAATTCCATTTTCCTGTTTTGTGACTGCAAGTCACAGGGTCAAATGCACCCAAAAGGAAATTTGGAGTTGTAGAGGAGCAGGGTGGGAGAGGAGAGGGGCTTAGGTGAGCAAACAAAGAGCTGCTGGGGACAGGGGTGCTGCCAGGGACCATGGAAGAGGCCATCACCTATGCAGAGCTGCACTTTGTGAAGTCTCCTCTCAAGAGGAATGTCTCCTACCCGGGGCAGGGTAAGGGCACCTGCAGCCTCTTCCTCCATGTAAGCCCACAAAACCCCAACCTCCGCCCCACTGCCATGAGGCCTGTCCTCTCCTCTGCACTCCCAGAGTCGGACAAGGATGAGGAGCTCAGCTATGAGAACGTGCAGGTGCCCTCAGCCCCGGAAGCACCCAGAGACCTGGCACCAGGGGACCAAGCAGGTATGGTGAGCCCAGAGGACGTGTGTGTGTGTGTGTGTGTGTGTGTGTGTGTGTGTGTGTGTGTGTATGAGAGAGAGAGACGCTGGAGAGAGCCAGAGCAGCTGGTGTGTGTATGTGTGTATATCTAGGTCTGTGTGTGTGTGTGTGTGTCTAGGTCTGTGTGTGTTTGTGTGTCTGAGTCTGTGTTTGTTTCTGTTTGTGTGTGTGTGTCTGTATGGGTCTGTGTATGTGTGTGTGTGTGTCTCTGTGTGTCTGAGTCTGTGTGTGTGATGCTGGAGAGAGCCAGGGCGGCTGATGTCTGTGTCTGAGTCTGTGTTTGTTTCTGTGTATGTGTGTGTGTGTGTGTGTGTGTGTGTGTGTGTGTGTGTGTGTGTGTGTCTGGGTCTGTGTGTGTTTGTGTGCAGAGAGGCTTCTGAGTGAAGTGAGGAGTCCACAGTGGTCTCCAGAAGATGCTACCCTAGGTTGGGAGGGGATAAGAACAGCAACAGCTATCAGCACCATCCCTAACCTATGTGGGGTCCTGATGGGTGTTGGGGCAGCCCTGGGGAGCTGAGCTCCGATGAAGAACTGTCAGCCATGTCGGCAGGCTGAGGATTGGGAAGGTAGATACTGACAGTGATCAATTGGGAGAAGAGCTAGGGACCAACCCTTTCCCACACCAAGGAAATCATAAAAGGGACCCCAGGAGAGACATGATATAGTTCACTGGGTGAAGATCGGGGGAGAAAACCTGGCAGGAGCCTACAGAGTCAAGTGGGAATGCCCTCTGTGAGAGCATTCCAGAGCAGTTGCAGGCAGAGGGAAGCAACTGGGTCCATGGGGTGGGAGGGCCTTGTTGCAGGAGGCTGCCAGGCACTGCCTGGATTTCATGTGCTGCCACCACTGCTCCCTTCGCCTGGACGGAGCAGCCGTATCTTGGAGCAGTGCTGAGTTCCCAGCTTCAGTGCAAATATACCTGTATGAGTTCTGTTTCATTGCCAGTTGTAAGGAAGCCTGGGGAAGGCAGGAGAGAGACAGTCACTGCCGGGATGAGCCCACGCGACCTGTCTGGAGATGAGCCCTCCCACTGTGGCCCCAGAGGCACACCCCACCCGTGGAACAACCCTATTCCTATTCTCTCCACCAGTTTCCTCTCTTCTCTGAGGTTTGTTCCAATGCTACCAGGTAATCACCTCTCCATCCACCTAACCAGGAACAATCCCCAGCCCTTCTTCTGGAACGTACTCCCGCTTCACCTTTGAAATGCTCCAGCGCCCAGGCAAGTTGGCCATTGCCCACCCCTCCACATTGCAAGCATCTCCTTGGGATGCTTTCTGCAGGGGCCCCCAATCCCACCCCAGCAACCCCTCAGTTTTCCTCCTTCCCTCCCTCTGTGAAGGCCATGTCCACTCCTGCTCCTCACAGTACCTCCTGCTGGGCCTGCTCCTCACCTGCCTGCTGCTGGGGGTGGCTGCCATCTACCTGGGTGTACACTGTGAGTATGGTTGACCCTGCCTCCCCATTTACCCCCAAAGACCTCGTCCCTGCTCTCAACACCCTCAGCTACTCTGGCGCAGTGCACTGCACAGGCACGGCCCTCACATTGTCAGCTTTGGGTCTACATCCCAGCCCTGTCTATTCACAAGCACCCTGTCTTTACTAATCATCAGTCTTTCAGTGGCCAAATGTCAGATGTTGCCTGTAAAGGGCAACACAGCAAGACACAGAAGAGGGGTCAATAATAGAGTGCTGTGGCTCCAGGGCGTGGCTGCAGGAGTTGTGTACAGCCTCCACCCACATCCTTCTGTGTGGCTGCCCAGATCTGCAGGTGTCTCATCAATTCGGGCAGCTTAGCAGGTTGCTGGAAGCCTCCAATGTCAGCCTGCAGGAGCAGCTCCACCTTGGAAATGTCCAACTGGAGCAGATGGAAAAGGACTTGCAGATCTCCACGGAGCAGCTGGCCCAGAGCCAGAGAGCACTGGAGGAGGAGCAAAAGGCACATCAGGTTGTACAGGAGGAGCTGCGGGACTGCCAGGCAAAGATGCAAGGGACCTTGCAGTCTACGCAGAAACTGAGGCACCTGCAAGTCATACTGAAGCCCTTCTTCACCTGCTCCTCACAAGGTACCTACTGTGGGCACAGGTGAGCTGGAGGGACTGGCTGGGTGTGAGAAAGTCAGGTGAAGGGGCACCAGGGGCAAGGGTCTGGGAGTGCTCAGGAGGCAGCGAGTTGTACAGGAAAAGGGCAGTGGAGCAGAGCTGGGTTTGATAAGAGTTGTAGCCACTGGCCAACAGAGAGAAGGGTAAAGTTGCACACTGGATCTAGGGCTTCTCCCTTCAGCACCAAGGGTGGCAGCCCACAGTGTAAATTAGTTTCACCACTCTGACAGCAGGAGGGGTCTGGAAAACCTCAGCACTTGTTCATAAAGTTGGATCACTAGTTTCAAAGGACATACCTCCACTTAGTCCTTGTTCCTGTACAGGTGGCTTAGGGCAGAATCACCACCTATTCCTGGTAAAGGCCGATAGGGGGAAAGGTGGTTGAAAGGTACAAGGAGCTCTCACAGAGAGGTGGGTGGGATGATTCACAATAAGAGTGAGGCAGAACACTTCTCCACCTGGTCTACCCTCTTTGAAAACAGTGATAGGAGAAGGGACGTGTGGAAGGGAAAGGCCAGGCTGAGGAAGGTTGGGGTCCTAGGCAAGGTGCTAGGAGGCACAGGGAGGGCTTGGGAGCATGGTCAGGGCGAGGCTCTGTCTGGCTGAGGGGGCAGGAACAACTTGTGAAGACACCTCCAACTATCATTTCCTGAATCTTTTTCTGTTCTGTGCTGTAAGATCCATGCTAGGGCTGCCCCCAGTTCCCACAGCAACCCTGACTGCTCCTCCATTGAAAGAACAGCTGTGAATGCCTACTCAGATGACAGCTCTTCCATCTCATACTTCTGCCACCTCACAGAGGCTCACAACTTCTGGCAACTCCCCTTCCTCTGTTCCTGCCAGCTACCTCCTGTCTTCACTTTCCTCCCTGCCCATCCTGAGGTCCAGTCATTACTCAACTGCTCACTCCTTTTTCCAGTGTCCTTCATGTGCTTGACTGGTAAGATCTGAACTCAGCATGAACCCGGTTGACCAGAGTTCCTGGTGCTGTATCAAGGAGTGTCTTGTCGGGGGATAGCCTCTTTCTGGCACTCCCGAGACTCCAGTTGCCAAACATTGCCTGACAACCTGGACTGCTTCCCCAGTACCCCATATTCCTTCCTCCCGTGCTCAATAGATGCCTTCATCTCATTCTCCAAGGGTTTCACGTAGAGTATTCACATCTGCAAAGACATCTGACATTTTTCCCTTTCCTATCTTTAAATTTGTTCCATAGCCATTACTCCTACTCTCTCCAGTGCCGCCTTCTGGTTGGAGCTAGGGAAGACCTTCACAAACAAAAATCTGCTCATGACATCCCATTTTAGACATTGTCATTCTAGTTTTTAGATCACAGTTAAGTGTACCCATGTTTCAGTGATTTCAGTGTTTCAGTGGTGACTATTTTGGGAAGGAGAAGATGTGAATGAATAAGAGGCCCAGTGGGTGCTGGTGAGGACAAATGAAACTGGACAAAACTCGGGGTATACTGTAAAGTTCAGAAATGAGTTTGAGGGGTGAAGGTAGAAAACTTTGTCCTGTGAGAACTCCTGGAGTGTGGGGAAGTCATGCTATTGAGTGTGAAGACTTTTTAATGAGCGTACATAGACAGGGCATTTGCCATGGCGGAGGTGGCAGGGCGAGGCTGAGGAGGATTGCAGAGATCTGGGGCCAGAAGTCCACAGTGTGATGGCCCCAACCCAGGAGGGTGTGGGTAGCAGACGAGCCACAGCAGTTTTATATTCATCCCATTGCATTCTTCCTGCTTTCTAGACACCTGCTGTATGGTAGGCTGGATACTGATTCAGGGAAGATGCTTTCACATCTCACTCACTAAGAGAGATTGGCAGAGAAGCCAGGAGTATTGCGAATCTCTGCCATCTGGCCTGACCACAGTCAGAGACAATCCTTGGAGTTACTATTATTCAGAAGTAAGTAAGCCCAGATGGGTTGCCAATTGTTACAGACACGTCATCAGGGCAGAATGAGCAATGCACACCAGTCCACGTGTGCTGGGCAACACAGATGGTCACGATCCTCAGCACCGAGTGGCCAACAGCTTCTCCACCCTCACAACACAGTGATGAGGGTGGCCCCTCCTCACCAGTCAGTGCTGGCGGGAACTCTTAGCTGGCTGGGATGTGGCCCTTGAGGAGTGCAGGGCCACCCATGAGCGGTCAGGTACCACAGGCAGGCTTGGCCCTGAGGTCCTCGTCCTGTGTAATGCATTTCGCCCACACACCTGTGCTCTTTGACTCTCACTTCAGAGTTCTCCATGGAAGAGATTACTCTCAAAATTATCCAGGGACACCTCTTATTGGGTTGGCCACAGTTTAATAACGGAGTACTGGAAGAGGAATACGGGGTGAGTTTGTCTGGAATTTGCATGCTTCCATCTATTTGTCATCTCATCAAAGACATATCAAGGCAATTTCCTCCTTAGTTACTGATTCCAGAATGTTTCCTTTAGTTAGTATTACAATTGCCTATTTATTTTTCTCCATTTAAGAACATTCTAGGGAAGTCTTAGAATTTATTCGATTCCCTAGTATCTAGAAGTCCCTGGCACAGTTAAAATGATGAAATAGTTATTAGGTTGGGATCTACATCCTTATTTCTAAGGAGAAGCTGAAGTTCAGCCAGGGTTTTACAGCTGATGGGAAACTTGGGCATTCTAACTTGCCATCCCTAGACACACCTGCCCAACTGGCTGCGCTGTCCCAGTCAGGGCCACTGGGGGCGCTAGAGCAGTGCCAAGAAAGTAGAGCAGAGTTTGAGTCCTGAGACAAGGTGGCCACTTGCTTATATTCCCTAGGGTAACTGACCATCTATCTTTACAATTGGCATCCAGACATCTAGATCTGTGCCACGTGCTAGGCAGGCAGAGAGGGGTTAGGACTGGCAGTAGGTTGTCATGGTGAGAGCACAGAGGGGAGGATAGGCTGGGGATTCAGCTGATTTGGTTTTAATATTTGCAGGTGCTCCATGTTAGAGCACAACTGGTCATGGGTCCTGAAACCAATGGAGTGCACTACCCTTTATGCCTGTATCTGTGAGATGGCGTCTTTCAGGTTTCCAGATGTGTACCTTTCTGTGTAGAATCCAGGTAAGAGTGGAGCAAGGGCTGTGATATGCCAAGTCTAGGTCAGAGAGGTGCAGGGAGGTGGTGAGAGGTCAGATAGAAAAGTTCTTCTTGGGGAGGGTCTATGGCTTGGTTGGGCATGACAGGGGCAGGTAAAGACCTAGCATTTCAGGGAACTGGTGAAGTGGCTGTCCAGGGAACTGGGGTAGAGGTGGATGGGCTGGTGGGAGCGTAATGGCAGCCAGTTGTGGAGCACATTGATGTTTTACTCTTCCAGGTGTTCATGCCAGGAGCATCTGGGCCATCCCCTCTAACGAGGGCTTGCAGTACCCAACATTTTCTCACTGGAAAGTGCCTGGTCAAGGCCTGACTCAGACCTGACCATTGTCACCAGTAACCTGCCTGCTTCATGCCTTGCCCTAGCAACTGATGTGTTCCTGGAAAAGGAGTAAAAAAGCTTCAAGAAGGGACTCTGGATCCCGTGGCCAAGAACCTGCTCCTGTGGCATAGGAGTGGGAACAGGAGGTGTGCACAGGGGCTGAATAAAAAGGCTAGCCTGGAGCCAGCCAGGAAGTTTTATTGAAATCACTTTAAATAATTTACACTTGTTAGTCTCTTGCTTAAGCAACACTGTGTGGTTGGATGAGCCCTGGGGAGTGAGTCCAGGGGTTGGGATGGCCTACTGCTCTGTCCCTTAAGTCTATACTGAGGCTCCCCTACGTGGTCAGCCTGGCCAGGGCTGGCACTCTGTGCTCACAGGTATATCTTGATGACCAAAGGTGGAGGCCTAAGAATCCAGAGTTACCATTGCTAGGAATGTGCCCTGTGAGAAGCAGGCTAGACATGGGTAGCTTGGCGTGGTGCCCTCAGTGAGAGAGGAGACAGCCTGCTTCCCAGTTAAGGTCGTGGTAGCCAGCATGGGGTGTGGGCTCATGGACAGGAAGCTGAAGCTAAAGAAGTTGAAGAGCATGCAGGACAGGGCAGTCCATCCTTGGGCTTCCAGGGAGCTGCAGGTGGCGGCAAGGGTTCTGTCAGCTCTAGGGTCACCGCCCACAGCAGGATGTGCTGAGCGCAGTGCCAGGCTCCACGGCCCAGGTCTCTGTGGAGTTCACTACCACATGTTGGGGTTGGGGTTGTGGTTGAGGGGAGATCCTGATCTGGGGGCCTATGGTTGGGAGGCAGAAGAGCAAGTGCTGACGAAGTTATGTGTAGTCATGGCCAGGGTTTGCTGGGGCTGCTGCCCTCACATTCTGTGCTCTTCTCGACCAAGGGTGCCATGGCAAGAGGGCCTGAGCCTGGCAGTGCAGTGTCTATGTTTGCAGGAGCTCAGGGGATGAGGGCAGAGAATGGCAGCAGCAGGAGGAGTGCCATGCTGGGTCAGGTTCTCTGAGTGATCACCAAGGGCAACTGGGTGGAGGACATTGGCAATGGAGGTACTACTGATGGGGAGCAACAGGCCTAATGGGTGTGTCCAGGAGATTGATCTTGCCACCCCTGAGGTTTTCTCAAAGTGAGAAAGGACTTACTGGAGTCAACGGTCCTCCCAGGTGGGGGTGATTTGGGTGACGGGGCAGGATGATGCCTACCAACTTTGGGAGAGCTGCGCATCTGATCTGGGAAGTGTGGCAGAAGGATCCCTTCTTGGCACATTCCCTGTAGATGGAGGAATCTGTCAGTCATGTTCTTGGCTCTGACCATGGTTCCCTTGGGACCCTACTTCCTTCCAGAAGCTTGGTGAGCTGGAGTTTAGAGAAGGGATCCCACCTCCAGTCTCCTAACCCCTCCTCCCTTCTACTGTTCCTTCAGGCTCTAAATTTGGAAATCACTGTCTTGTATGAGCCCTTTTCCAACTTCTACCCCTCACTGATTCCCACCTGCTCAACTTCTAAGTACACTTGGCTCC